CAAAACGTTACGCTTTTCGTTCAGGCTCTCACTTTAGACATCTGGGAATCGATTTCATTTCTCAATTTTGCTATAATCGTACAAGATTGCCATAGCTTCGATTTTTCAAGTCTTGTACCTATTGTTATTCTGTTCCAAACTTGTAGAAATTGTATGGTGGGTACAGAAGAAGTTAACTGAATTATCTAACGCGAGATTCATATCGTTCTGGTGCTTGTGTGGACTGTTGTAAGTTTCTCCGTGGGCTTATCTCGGTCACTTCAGACGAATTTCGGGATATCTGCCACTCAGAGATGGCCAACTACCTCGTCCATACCTCACAGGGCATTTAGTAACATCTACAGTTGATGAAATGTGTTTGCATGTCCGACGAAACAGCCACGAGTCACTCTGTAGACAGGGAAATTATGGAAATTTTTTTTTTTTCCAGATCGCAGCTTTCAAAAGTAAAGAATTAATTTCTATGTGTGATTTGTATCTCTGTGTTCTATGTCGTCTTTTCTGGCACACGTGTCAGGCAAGAAGTCTCAACGTCGCGTAGCAGGCGCTCTAAGTTGGGGAAATGCAGATAGCGTGGGAGAAAGAGTTGGTGTCTGTGATTTGTGCCTCCAGGTACGATGTTACCTTCTCAAGTTTGGAAGTGGATAGTTGCAGTTTAGGTGGAAGAAGCCACTGGATAGGGTTTACATTTTTCTCCTGGCTGATAATTAAGATGACGGTCGACAGTGGGGACCTGCAGCTTAACGCGGTATCCTAATATCGGAGGGGCCCTGTGTTCCTCTCGTTCTTTGTTAGAGTTGAGCGGAAGGAAAGATCTAAAGTGGCGAATACTCGTGTCTGGCTAGCATAAAATAAAATAAATGTTTTACTATGTACAACAGGAGCATAATAATGGTGAGGGCTATCCCACACCTCGTGAGGCTGTGATGGATGAGTATGGAGCAGTGGTGGAGTGGTGGTTAGTTATTGAAAAAACCTAATAACTCGGAGAAAAAACATGCGACCGTGTCCCTTCGTCCACCACGAATCTCACTCGAAGTCCGACCGTATGTGTCCGGAAACTGAAGTGACTGAAGAAAGCATCAGTGAAGGTAACCGTTCTCCGAACTGAGATTTGAAATCGGGACATCCCGAGTGTTAACCCAACCGCAACGTCTTTAGCTATTTGATCATTGTGACCTGATCTGACACCGGGCTGGGGTTGAGGCTACAATCTCTCGATCTTCATGTCTCTCTTCTGCGTCTTGTCATTGTCATTCGTGCATTGTCTATGGAATATATTTAAGGGCAATGTTTCACATCCAGACGCTCAGGCAGGGAATTATGCAGTAACAGCGTAGGTCCGAGCGTCAACTGACCACGCAATTTTCTTTCGGGCTGGTGATTGTTTACATGTTGTCTTGCTACCCTTGGTTGGCTTTATTGTTTGCAGCAACATCTACTCCTACGTCACACGGAGATACAGTTTCATCTCGTCATGTCACACATTTCTGTTTTGTTTTTAACTCTACAGGCACAACGATGAAGCTGTCAGTGTGATTGGCACAATTACAACAAGTTGTATACAGAGATTGTGGATGGCTATATATTCATGTATTTATAAATCCTGTTTCATGATCGGGTTAATACTTAGCCCACCCCTCTCAACTCCGATAATCATTGAATAGCGTAGGTGGTCTCCAGAGCCGTTCTGAGTGTTGTGAACTGTTCGCGACTGTAATCTTGAGACTTGAAAGGAATCCAGGAAGTCCGAAGCGTTAAAGGTTACTATATAGCACAGTGGTATTCAACCTGGGGTACGCGAAGACATCTTAGGTACTTGAAATTTAAAAAATATATATATTATTTTATGATAAACAATAAATAATCAGTAATGTAATTTATGTAATTTTTTTTAGATGTAGATTATATACTATGTATAACTTGAATTATACACCAACAACTTTGGAGGGGTACAAAGTTGAAGAGAAATTATATCTGGGGGTACGCGAAAAAAAGGTTGAATACCACTGGTATAGCAGACGCTATCGTTCCTCCTTCACCCCATTTCCTCACCCCTGAAGTCTCAAGATTAGAGTCGCGAACTATAAGGGAACTTTTAAATAACTTGCGTTTTGTGCAGACAAATTTCGGAGACGAACAAATGTAATTCTACATCGGAAAGTTTTTACTCCGACACTTCAGATTTGGTGTGCCTGCCTACTGTTCGGGAGTGTCCCACAACGCAGCTTTAACTATCGTTCGCTTATTTTAAGATGTGAAGGATAGCGTTTGTGAGAACCTTGAAAACTACGTGAACATTTTGCTTCAGTGTCGAAGCACGGCCGCGGGACGTATTCAAACCGACCACAAGGATTGAAATTTTAACTAATACGAAATTAGAAATAATAATGGGGGCGTTTTTAGTAAACTTTACTACTACTACTACTATGGCGTAACAGCCCAAAATCGAGCCCTAGCCTCCTCATTAGTAAACTTTGCCTCTTGGAATAGTTTGGTCAAAAGTAGAAGTTTAATTTGCAGTCTGCATTTTGTCTGTTGTGGACTAATTCTTCAGCAGTGGAATTTGTGCCCGTATTCAATGTAATGTTTTTTTTTTATACTACGACCATTGAATGCTCATGATTATCAACGGATCTTGATCTATTAAAAATGCAATTTGAAACTGAGTAGTTGATACCGGATACAAATTTCAATGTATGATAGATAATCAGTTAGGCTGTCTGGAAATAATGCGCGAAACACACACACACACATGGAAGTTCGTAGCAACAGTGGATTCAGAGTAATACACGGAAGTAAATTCCGAGAAACTATAAAAATAGCTTACGGGAATCCCTCAGCAACGTCAGGGGGAAAAAGATGTTACAAACTAAAGGGACTCTATGATTTTGTCTAGAAACTTTAAACCTTCCTGTTCCTTACGTAATCACTGCACGCTCTATATCAGGGGTGGCCAACCCAAATGATCTTTCGGGCCACTTTGGAAATGAATCATAACTCCGCGGGCCACATATAAAATTATATATCCCCATATTAGATTTAGATACACTATAGACATTTTTTTGGAGTGAAAAATTGAAACATAATGAGTTATTATTATTGTGTTTACTATTATTCTTACATGTAAACGTAGATAATATAATAATAATGATGTATTTTTTTAATACATTGGTTTTCACTACTTTGGCCATTATAAAATAAATATAATATTTTGTAAAAGTGTGATGAATCTCGCGGGCCGGAAAAATGTTCAAGGCGGGCCACATGCGGGCCGCGGGTTGGTCACCCCTGATCTACAGTCACCATCCAGTTTTTCAGACGCCAGACGTCTTTGATACAAAACTGCTGTAAGCACGTGTCAATAATTATTGTGAAATGGCCCATTCGCTTATTTTGAGTTCAGAAGTACAGTTAGATTTTAATAGTTCTGTCGCGCTGCGAAAGAAATAAGATATATTTTTCTACGTATTGTACCCTCCTATCTGATACTAGGTCTTCCATATTGCTGCTTTCCATCAAGATTACTCACTGCACATGAGTCTGTGTTAGGTCCGTATATTTTCCTCACGGCTAAGCTTTTTGATAATTGTATTTAAATTGCTATTAAATACGTCGTAAGCCATCTAGTTAGTTAGTTAGTAGGTATGAAGAATGTTCAACAGAGATGTTAATCATTTTATCTCACGAGGGGTGTTGACACAGAAGCAATAAGAATGGACCGGTTTTCTCCCTCTTCGGTGTTCATACGTGGTCGATCTCAGAGCCCAGTTTTAGGGTCTCCCCATCACTTCTCCATCTATCTCCCTTTTATTTTGTTAGCAAGACTTTCCAGTGACGTCACATGGATAAACGTGTTATGATTGGTTAACCATTTTCGCTGTGGGTTTGGCTTACTACTCTCATTTTGTTAGATGGGTCGGTCTGCGCTTTTGTACTATAGATTCACGAGATGTATTTAGAACAATAGTGACGCATGTACCTCATTCTATCCGGCAATGCACATTTTACTTACCTGTTTAAGTACGCCTTCTCGTTTTTGTTGTATTGTCTGTTCAGTTTGTGCGTAAGATTGCGATCGGAGAACAAGCCAAACGCCATTAGAGAGCAGAATATTTGAAAATTAGTTCAGGAATCCTTTGAATTTCATCTGTCAGATACATGACATGTGATGTCATTAAGTACAATTCATTGCCGTGTTTAGGGGTTATACGGTCTCCCCCTCCCCCGCGTCTACAATGAAATGTTGAATTCAGTATGAAACGTTAAAACCAAACAAAATTTTGGTTGGGAACGACAGCATAAGGAAAAATATTGACCATCATCAGCTTTTCACAGTTGTAATTGATTTTCGTATAAATGCCTATGTCATAACTGTCGTAAAATATACGTTTTTAAATGATGAATAAATTTTGTTTTTCCGAAAAATACTCGCAAATATGGTTTCCTTTTTAACGTTGCTCTGGGTCAGACTCACAAGCTTTATCGTGATCTTCTTCAGTGTTTGTATTGTTAGATTTTCGGTCACTGAAATGTATAAGTGAACAAATTATGGATGAGTTAAACAGCCAGTACTTCTATTTAAAACGCAGATGAACAAATTATGGATGAGTTAAACAGCAAGTACTTCTATTTAAAACGCAGAGGGGACATTTCTTGAGCCATGTATATTAGTCTAGAAAATCTTTAGGGCAGTCAGCCGTGTTAGATGGTTACACGAGCTAAAGTGTTAAAAAAAAATCTTGAATTATTGCCATATAAAGACGTTTATTATATAATAGGTTCGTTGTTAAATAATTAATCGATAGTACAACCATGTACTGCCTTAGAACCACAAGGTCGTTTACTTGTTTAAAATCGGGCGCTTAATAGGTAATGTGACGTGTTATTTATGTCGCTCTTGCTGGGAAGGTCTCACGTGATTTAGAGACTTGGGGGAAGTTTCAAGCAGTCGTCGCGTGAGGGAACCATAGTCGCTTCTCTCGGTTCGTGCCCGTGGATCGTCGTCTGTGCATTCGGTGTGCATTGCTACCCGGTTCGCACCTTTTCGGTAGATCATCCTGTTTTGCGGCAACTTTTAAATATTCGAAATTGTATTTCTGTTGTTCATTTATTTACTGAGAATGTTAATGGAGATCAGTTGAAAGTAAAACGAGTAGTGATCAGCGAATTGAAGAAGACAGACGTTTGTAACGGTAATCGGATGATTTAAAGATTTTTTTTCGTGAGACGAAGTTTTTTTTTATTTTAATTTTGCTTTTAAATGATATGCTCGTGTCTGGACAGTGAAGACCACTTGATTTCATACTTTCAGAAATAAACTTTTTTTTCCCCGTTATCGCGCGGTGTTTTAATTGTTCAATAAAGTCTTATCTGATTACGGACGAGTTTTAAATATTGGGACAATCTGTCAAAACAGTGACCTATGTGTTTTGTGAATTATACTTTTCTAACAGAAGCTCTTGTGTTACATTTTAATTTTAAGTGGATACGTTGTATACTGAAGCAACTGATATTGAATCCATACGTTTTTTTTTACAATGATTTCAACCTTGAGTGAAGTTTTTAAGTAACAAGTGACTCGGAGTTGTGGCGGGCATTGTTTGAGTGTCATATTACTTGTCAGTTGTATAAGTATATGTATGGCGTTTAATTCGACGAATTAACATTTTCAAAGTGGCCAATGAGACGAACAATTATTACTCTGCTGCTCCTCCGTCGGACACCGCTGGAAGCTTCTTGTCTGGGACCCTCGCTCCATCGCCAGGAGCAGCAATGCTGTACAACGTCCCTTGCTATCACAGCTATTCACCTCTGTCCTGTTATCAGGTGAGATGAAACCGGAAATGACTCGTATTTAATATTTTAATCTTTACTGATCATATATCCGATCTTGAAGATGGTTGTCTTCTGGGTTGTTGCGCCGTGTAGAAGTCCCAGAAGACGGCCATCTTCATACTAGAAATCTCACATTCGATTTTGTTAATGGAGCCGATGTGACCCCTGAAAAATATTCAGGATTGTCGAAACATTCTAAAGTTTATTGCTACTGATACGTTAATGTTATTTTAATATTATAAACTGAAAATGTTTAAGTAATTTTATAGATCTGCTTTATTTTTTCATAACAGCACAGAGAGTTGGTTTATTATTTTAATATTCTGTGTGAATCTGTCCGTGTCTTGTTACCTCGTGAGATGTCTGGATGAACTCCGAAAAGTGTTGGGGATGATCTCTATGAATTACTAGTGTGCGTCATGCTTCCTTCTGCATTCTTGGAACATCCCATTGAAAATTATCGTCCTCGAGCTATGATTCATACAGTTGACACACGGCTGTTATATAACACGGTTAATTCTGTGAATTAACACAACGCGTTTAGAGACCGCACTTTTATATGGACGTATTATCTTATGTTTGCGTAGGATTTCATTTCAGAGGAGGGGATCTTTGAAATCAGTTACTGAAAGCTATATTTTATTACACTTATTCGCAGATGTGGTATATTGACATAAATTTATATTTTACAAGTGAATTTTTATCGGAAAACAAATTTTCTCCTATCTCTGGAACTATTTCGGGACGGGTGGTACAGCATCTACATATTACTGTGAATATTTTAATCTGTGAGTCTGTAAAACTTTCGGGAATGAGCAGCATCAAATGCTGTAGGTTTCTAAACGTTTCGGTGAACATTGAAGTTGCCATCTTCAGGGCTGTTATTGATACTGTTATGGTGGATATTGAATGTATGAGGTAGCTTAAAAATTCACGTGTGCACAATGATTGTGTATGAAATTTCTTGAATTTAATTGATGTAGGGGTAATGTACAAAGATCCGTTTGACTGGGAAATGTACATGCTGCCAGGAGGCACGAGTGACCCATGTCAGTCATTTTTCGGAGGTTAATTTTGGGTGTTCTTTGGGATTCTTTGAGACGATTCGATTGGAATTATCAGTGTAGTTATTTAGATGTTCATACTCTGCTTTATTTTGGTTCAACATTTGCTTTCGTCGTTTTAATTACTATAATTATTCCACCATTATATGAAGCTATCTAATAAATTATTTGGCGTTGAGGCAAAGTTCAAATTTTTTGGAACTACTGTAGAAAATCAGAACTGCTTTCACGAGGAAATTTAGATCGGAGTGAATTCGGGGAGCGCTTGCTACCCTGTGCAGAATCTTTGCCTTCCCGTCCTGCTATCTAAGAACGTAAAGATTAGAATATACGAGAATGATTTCACTTGCTGTTTTGTATGGGTGTGAAACCTGGTTTCTGGCGTTGCTGGACAAACACAGATTGGTGGTGTGTGGGTGCTGAGGGGAATATTTGGATCTAAGAGGGTTGAAGTGACTTGGGGTGGAGAAATTTGCATAACGAGAAGCTTTCTTTGTATTTCATCAAAATTGTTGCGATGATCAAATGAAAGGATAAGATGGATATGGTAGCGATGATCAAATGAAAGGATAAGATGGTTATGGTATTTATCACGCATGGTGCAGATGAGAATGCTTACAAAATTTTTGTTAGGAAGCCCGAAAGAACGTAGTCACTCTCAAGACCAAGGTGGAGATTGTAGGATAATATTAAAGCGGATCTTAAATATATACGGTTTAAAGGCGTGGATTTGACCAATGTGGTTTGTGAACACGGTAATGGACTTCGCGGTTTCATAAAATACGCGGAATTTCGTAACTAGCTGAGCGGACTGTTGTCATCAGAGACGACTTCATTGTTTGCAGTAATTGTACTTGTTTCTTTCAGTGCGATATGTGGCTGTGATATTGACTGAAATACGCCGACCACGTTAGTCATATGTTTACGCGAAATCAACGTAGCATGTGATCGTAATGCCATTTAGGAATGATCAATTGCTGTTTTAATTAATGGGCTTGAGGCATAGCCTGATTTCACACAACAGACTACGACAGTATTGATGTGTTATTCCGGAAATATGTCGTTACTCCGAATAGCAATTCGTAATTAACGTTGCGTCTGTGAGCAGGAAATTGATATTGGCATCGAATTACGACAAATGGAAATCTCCCATTTGTTATCAAGGCGCCAAGTTCAAATATTTGGAAACTGCGATAGGAAATTAGAAGTACATTCACGGATAAATTGGGATGAGATTAATTCGGGGAACGTTTGCTATCATGCAATTCAGAATCTCTTGTCTGAAGCTTAGAGGTTGAAAAATATAAACCTGTGATTTTTATCTCCTGTTTTGTATGGATATGAAATTTGGTTTCTCGCAGTAAGTGAACAAGTTGATTAATTTCCACATACCAAATTTCCAACGCCTAACCACGATAGGTTTTTCCTTTGTCTCTGTCGAACTGGTTAAAGTCGATGTTGCTGTTTTACATTCTCCGGAAAACGTTGCCTGAAAATTTGCACATTTTCGAGTATCTGTTGTCATATATCATTTCAGGATCCTTTGGTAATGGGCTCTAATGTTGTCGCTACCTCACAAGTTCGAGGCGTCCGCCATGTCATTGCCAACTGTAGGTAGTTAAAATCTGCGAATTTTGAGGAGGCTTTTAATGGCATAAAGTTTACATAATTTTGCGAAAATCGGTTACGTGTTTTTAATATGTTAAAATGGGGATTCAAATGTTAAATTTCGTTAGTTATTCACTTTCCCCACTGTTAACCTGTGATTTTGGAAAATATTTTAATGCTAACTTGGTGAAATTTCATATTATCACGGCGACGAGTATGAAGTTGTCTTCTGGGTTGTTGCGCCGTGTAGTCTGGTAGCTGTTTATCAACGTTTCAGAGGTTATACTGCCTCCATCATCAGAGTATGAAGATTTCTGTCTTCTGGGTTGTTGCGCCGTGTAGTCTGGTAGCTGTTTATCAACGTTTCAGAGGTTATACTGCCTCCATCATCAGAGTATGAAGATTTCTGTCTTCTGGGTTGTTGCGCCGTGTAGTCTGGTAGCTGTTTATCAACGTTTCAGAGGTTATACTGCCTCCATCATCAGAGTATGAAGATTTCTGTCTTCTGGGTTGTTGCGCCGTGTAGTCTGGTAGCTGTTTATCAACGTTTCAGAGGTTATACTGCCTCCATCATCAGAGTATGAAGATTTCTGTCTTCTGGGTTGTGGCGCTGTGTAGTCTGGTAGCAGTTTACCGACGTTTCAGAGGTGCTTGCTGTAGATGTTTCTGTATTGACGTTGCACGCCGTAGCTATTTATTTCGTCCACTAGACTACATTTGTAATAGAGTTTTGTATGCAACATCCCAGTATTAAATGAAACAAAACACATTTACTGGAGACTTGGATACGGTACATGCGAAGGACTGACACAGCGAAGATAACGGCTTGGTTTTACGCTTAGCGAAGGTGTCTACTTGACATTAGTCTATCTTACACAGTTCTTATTAGATACAGTGAACATTAGATGGATGCCATTGTAGAAGTTGCTGATGGAGAATATGTTGGACTTGCAAAATCACTGATATAGGAGCTTAACAGTGAGCGCATTAATGTCATTTGGCAACTGTGCTGGTGGCACGGCAAGGCCTTTCCGCTGTGCGCTATTACTGCCTCGGTTGCCGCATTTCTTGTCCTACCGGCACAGCCGCCAAATATCCTCTACTTCTTAACCAGTAAACCTGCTTTGATGGAAATTGAATAGAAAAGAAATTCGCTTGGCAACGTTACCTAAACCGCTCACATCAGGATATCTTAATGTGATTTGGAATTGGGCGGGTACCGTATCTTATTATTATGCGCCCACTTTATGATAAATATGTTTCTTTCTCTTTAGAACTGTTTAAAGTTTGCCTACTCCTTCGGAAGTAATATCCCGTTGTCTTTGGCATAATTAATTCAGAAACGCAGGCTAGTTGTGCGTGATACTCTGCTCATTAAGCCATGCTAGTGCTTGTAATTGTGTGTGGACGGTGGGAGCATATTGTCTGACTAATGGAACAGCAGTCGAAGCTTTTGTAAACACTGATATCAAAGAGATAGGGGGTGGACTGGGGGGGCACTGTCTCTGTACTTGACAAAATGTGACTTGTCTCCGTACATGAACCTGGACAGATGGCTGAATGAGTTCTTTCTGTTTGAGTAACACTCATGCCACAGTGCCTGATAGCATCAAACCAAGAATGTCGATCAGAGATGTGTTGTACTTGAATCTTAGTATGACGTCTATTGTGTTTTGTTTGAGCATAATTTGTTTTAGTGTAACGTTCGGACTGTGATGCTCTCGTATGTCGCCACCACTTCGTTGTAGTGTTGAAGCTGATTCTATAAATTTTTGTGATATGTACGCAAAGCAGAGGGTTTTGGATCTTGGATCTTGGATCTTGGATCTTTCTACTTGATAAGAAGGACCAAAGCTGAACGTAATTTGTATTGACTTGCATCACTTAGGCTTTTGGGCGAAAGTCGAAGTTATACGTTGAAATCCAGCCACGAAAACCCGCGGACAATTGTATTGACTTTGAATGCCTCATTCAGATCTTCAAAGTTAATGGCCTGACGATGCTAATTATGAAGTAGTCTACGTTATATGTTGCATGTTCCACATACACCACGCCAGGGAGACGTGTGGAGTGGGAGTAGTCAGCTTCACGCTCCTTTCTCTTTATCACCGGGGAAAGAGCACAGGTTCGCATTCGATAGAAATTTGGTAGTCCCCAGAGCTGGTCTGGATGCGATGACAAAGAGAGATGTCCTTTTCCCTGCCGAGAATCGAACGCAGGTCGTCCGTCCCGTAGCCTATTTACAATACTCGCACTGCTATTGCTGCTCAGTCACCACCGATTCTAAAAAAATGTGTTCTTTGATTATTTGTTAACTGT